ACGACTTTGTCAACGCGGTACGTGTCTTAGAAGCAATGCACACACCACGCTGCGCCTTTCCTCAGAACCGGTGAGACGTCAAGTGGGGGAATTTCGTTCATAATTCGTCGTTTGCCGAAAGCGTTGCCTCGTCATGGGCGTTTTCCATCGAATGTGCTATTTATCATTCACTGCCGTACACCAATAATTGATAATAGCTAAGTCACCTGGATGACTTTAACTTGATGATCCAAATTGTAAGCGTAAAAGTTCACAACCATTCGAGACTCGCGAAAAATCCCCTTTGACTGCAGCGGAACGTGAAGTGATTTTCCTCAAATTTGGCACGTCGAAGACATATTAAACATAAGCACTTAAATACCCGTGATGAATATGTTGTAAGGCTCTTGCTAAAATAAACAATGTTTAAATATTTTTCGTGCTCATAAAACAAATTTCGTGGCTTAGAAGAAGTAGTACTAGGAGCATTACTCTTCTGATTGCCCGTGGGTAATCTCCAGGTCATCAAGCCGCCCTTAACGCACGGCTTGAAGATCGGTGGCCGGCACTTCGTGTTCCTGGGATGCTCGACCAGTCAGCTGCGAAGCCACGGTGTCTGGTTCTACGCCCGAGACACGGAGGGCCGCACCGCCGACTCGATACGCATGGGTGTCGGTGATCTGTCGGCAATCCACAGCGTTCCCAAGCTCATGGCACGGCTTGGGCAGGTAGGCGGAGGCGTTGCAGCCACGGACGAAGTACTCATGACACTTTGAAACCCGCAGGCCTTCTCCCAGTCGCTGGGGTATCTTACTGTGCCAAGCCAGTTCACGAGCATTGAGCCAGACATCAAGAAAATGATAGCGACCTGCAGGTCCGGAGAGACCCTGCAGCGAGAGTACGTGTTTAGCGATGGCATCAGGCGCATCTCGCACGTCTTGCTGCGCAAGGTACGGCGCTGGTCCGGTGTCCTATAGAGAACCGTCCATTGTACTGTACCGGAAATGCGTGAAGGTGCATGGTAAAAAGTGTCAGAAATCCTTCAATATTTTAGCACGTAAATGCCTGTACCGGTGCGCACTGTGAAAGGCTGGTCACCAGATTCGACAATGCGTGTGTGCACCTGGTCACGTATAGGAATAATTCGTGACGTACACTAAATGTGCACAAAGAAAATAGAGATGTCTCCGGACTCCTACCGCATGGGCAGGTAGCGTCACAACTCGCATCGACTCCGTCAGATGTGGTGCTACGAATTGGCCATCAGGATATTGTTTGGTGTGTAATTAACCCCGTAGGTGGGGCTTGTTAACGTGAATGTGACGCTCATTAACCTGCGGGGTTCTACGTCTCAACACTATAATATGATTATGAGAGATGCTGTAGGGGAGAGTTTCGGAAATTTTGATCATCTGCTTTTCTTTAACGTACACAGACATGGCACTGCACACGGGCCTCTGTCATTTCACCTTCATCGAAATGTGACCATCGCGGCCGGGGTAGAAACCACGACTTTTGGGTCAGCAACTGAGCCCCCTTGCCCCTGACTCGAACGTGACGTTTCAATATTTAGTATGTTTCTACTGAGACTTTAAAGCTTTAAAGGGACACTGAAGAAAAACAAATGACTTAGTTTACATTGACAAACTGTACTTTGATGTTCCACTATCATAAGTTCATTATTAGCGGTAAAAATAACGTGACAGTTTTATTTGTGAACTTCGCGCCAAAATCTCTGAGTGTGACGCCAGAAGTCCCTAAATGTATTTTTAGTATTGCCGTGGCATTGGCTCGATAGAATCCTCTGAAACTTCAAATGCGAACTATATGGCGCCAGCGAATCCCAATGTATTCCATCCATTGGAGGTTACGACCGAGTATAGACATCTTCATAATTTCTTACCTCACACAGCGGGTGTTCGTGGCGGGAATCTTCAGGTGACGTCGCCACATATTTTAGCTATTGTTTTGCCTTCTAAGTGCCATGGGGCGGGAAGAATTGCGTTTTCGGGAGTGTGAATGTGTACTTTACTAATGGACGAAAAATCATTTTGCTCTTTATTGTTTTTTAAAGAGAAGTCGCTTCTGAAAATTGGCCCGGTTTCATACAAAGACTTCGGACAGTTCAGTCACTTGGCATAATTACATGCTAACCGCAGAGATATTTTACCAATATGCTACAGCTACATGCACATGCTATATTGAACATACACATATTTGGCTAAGACGTGTAATACGACGCTCGCCTGTGTCATCTCCGCTTTTTCTTACGCAGTGAAATTTCCCACAGATCGCGCTCACCTTCCGTAAAAAAGACTGACCCCCCTCTTCCTATTTCTTAATAGAAGCTAAATAATATACTGAAGTTGAACAAAAAGAAGTAAATCATTGTTCGGCCATGTCGGTATTACACGCGTGCTTTGAGCTTTCTCTAAGCATTTCTCAAGTAGCGCTCGGCAAATATACCGATGGAACGTTCAAGTGGCTTACCAATTAACATTCAAGTTGAAGTTTATTTGCAGTTTTGCACCAAAACATGAAACCTGCATTGTCATTGTGCCGGAGCAAAAGGCGTGCTTTGATTCAAATAAGAACTAGGCTCATGGCACCGCCAGTAACAACGGGGTGACAGGCGGACAACTGCCAAGAATGAAAACACATACTACACTGTTGGCCTAATCCACACGTGTAAACATAACTGACAGCTCTAGTACATAACGGTACCAGTTCAGTACATCACTACATCAATACACCTCGAATGCGCACGAACACCAAAACTATCTGACAATTAGATAGATACCTCTTCCATATATGCAGACATATTTTTTGACAATACAAGAAAAAAGAATAATGTGATCCTGTAAATTAGTATATACCTGTGAAGTACCATCTGCACAGCAGGTCGCGCATAGTCACGTGTGCTTCCACTCGACTCGCAGGGACTACCCGTTGCTCTTGAACTGAGGAAGGCGAGGAACCATGCGCCGTGCAGATTCGTTACGGCCTTGTTGCAAGGGCATGCTGCTTCTCGATCCGACGTGGCCGGACGAAGGATCGTCTTTCGTCAGAGCATGTGCAAATTCATGCTCAGAGCATGTGCATGTGCATGGGTGCGGGTTTTTTCGTGGCCGAGAAGTTCGGTCTAGCGCCCTCAGCCAGTTGCGAACAGAAAGTCATTGGAAGACTGTTTATTATCGGAACGCTGCGGCACAGTCGCAGCGTGCACTTTTATTGTATACTTCTATCAGGCTAAGGTGATATTTGATTGATATGTGGGGTTTAACGCCCCAAAAGTCTAAGGTGATATGTTTCTAGTGTTCGGCTCGGCAGTATAAGCAGTGCAGTTCAGCGTATCTATTTAACTGCGATCAATAGGTGTTCGAAATCTATTCTAAAGAAAACAACTTGTAGCAGAAGCGCTCCACTTGTACCACCGTATGAACGCGTCTAATTCGACGGTTTGCATGAACTTTTGAAACGATCATACTCGTTTGCCGCTATTTCTTTCCGTTTGCATGTCATGGTTTTTAAAGGAGGTTTTGCCAAGGTTACCCAACTGTTTGCGGTGAGAAGCAAAAGTTGCTTGTACACTGGGCCTGTAAATGTGTCAAAATTATTGTGAGAATATGTTCAGTGGAAAATGAAGCCTAGATGTCCCGACTGTGAACTTCACCCACCGCCGGCGACCGCCATATTGACATGGTGTGTCTGACATCCAGTGCTGTGCGGAACGAAGCAGCCATCTTTAAAATTCAGCTGCTACGATTATTCAATGTGAATGCCGAGCAGAAGAAGAAAGCAGAAAAAACTAATGTGCAGCTGACCACTGAAGAAAACTCTTCGCCGGTATGTAGATGGTGGCAAAGCAAGCAGCGCGCGAGTGTGCCAGTGGGCAGGCTGCTTTAGGTCATTGCAAAAACATTAAATTAAGGAGATAAGCGCTGGACCAAATGGGCTGTTGTTTTTTGGTGAACGTCTATATAGTAGACAATAGGATAAAAGAATGCGTTTCATGGCCCGTTTGCGTGTGCATAAAAGGGTTAATGAAATTCTAACCTCGCTGTCTTCGAGTAATCCTTCAATGAATCCTAAGAAACAATTGCCTGTATGTGTTGAAAACGGTCGCCTTCTCCGTGCAGATTTTTTTCAGCCTGCTGGCTTTACTAGTTAATAAACATTGAACAAATTAATGACGCGTAGACTACGCTGACGTCAATGCAATATATGTCGTGTCTAACATTTCTTAGGTAAAGAAGTTGCATTCGTTTTCATGTGGGCTACGTTTGCGATCCCCAGTGCTGCAAGTTACGCGAGTATCCTCTAACAAAACGATACGCATATGGTATATAGCGATGCTAGCGCGCTGGAATGACTCGCAACGTAAATAAAATGGTAGGTCTTTGCGTCACAGATACCGAGGTCGGAACGTACTCTCGAAGGTGTACTGTACCTGAACAGGCCCCTGATCACCATCCTTGAACAGAGCGGCATAAGGGCGAAGGTGTTCCTCACGCTACAAAACCACATCCTCGACTCCTTCATCGACAGTATGCCGACCCGCGCGAAGCCGCTCAGGTAGACATCTTTGCTCTTTCTTCTTGCATATGAAGTGAACTCACATACGCACATGCATAATAAACACACACCCACGCACGCACGACGCACGTACACCCGCACGCGCACGCACCGACCCGCACTTACAGAAGCACACACACGCACACGCGCACAGACGCGCACAGACGTGCACACAGACACTGCCGTTAGGACCATGTCCACATATACTTACTAATGGCTGAAAACCGACGATGGACACGATTACTAACTCTGATATGTTGTCAATATCTGTCTTCTGCATTGTGTACGCCATTTAAACTGCAGTCTGCTGTTTTGCACTTTGTTATCGGTATACCCAGACTGCGTGCGCGTAATGTTGAGCAAGCAGATTTGCTCAGTTAGTAACTTATGGTCAGGTCTCTAGCATGAACTCTGAAATGAGCAAGTCAGGACTATCGCGCAAACATATTTCACAAAGCATTCTTATAACCTTTTCGCCGCTTCATGACATTTTACGACACTTTTCCCAATAAATTAAGTAGCAGAAACATGGTTACAATCGTTAGAAGTGTCTTGTATAGCATAGTCACCATTTAATCATGTCTGATGCATTGAAACCTGCGCAGGTCCTATGCACGTATTCTGCAATGCTACTTCCATACAAGGAACTTGCTGGTGTTGGCGTCGACCTCACCGTGGAGCCATTCTTTCGAGCCTTAGTCCGGGCTGTCAACAGGAAGGCTCTGTGCAAGTACAGTGTTCTCAGCCTTATAATATGTACAGTGTTGTCTGCAATATGTCGCAGATTCTGTTCCCACCCAATTCATGTTATTTTTTTCACAAACCTTTCTATCTTCACATTTGCATCACAATTAACTTCGAATAATATCCCCTAAGCTTTCTTATGCATTACTGTCTGTCAGTTCTCATTAATATTGACCAGTACAAGTTGTTCGTTTCCTGGCGTGTGAACGAGCTGTCTTACCGTTCCCACCTTCTTCACGGCCACTTGCCAGTAGTCTCCCTCGTGTATTCGACTGTGATTGTTGTTGGCGACATTACCTTGCACGCTTTGTTCTACGTCTGGTTTTATTCTACGTTCAAGTGTCCGTGGTGCCAGTGACGCGCTGTCATTTTCGCAGAGGAACTGAAGACCAAGGCTCGCATCTTGGTTCCGCCTGCCTTCGGTCGCACCATGTTCGGCGTGCTGGACGAAACGGGCACACTCGAGTACGGCCAGGTGTTTGTACAGTACTCGAACGATATGCTGCAATACAAGGTCAATGATCCTGCGACGATCTTGGAAGGTATAGTGTGACCCTTTAATTTGAGTACTTTACGTTTTCCAGTGGGTCAGAACAGATTGGTTTGTCTTCTGCACTTTCTCAGGGAGCGTCTTACACCGTATTCTTTCATATCTGCACATGCTTGTAATCGAGAGGGCCACGGGAGGAGGTGTCTCACAATCCCGGGCAAATAATTGAGGCCAATGGTTGCTTTATGGATTGTAAAAGTCATCTTCCTTTTTTATTTTTTATTCTCCAAAGCATGAACGCACGTACCTCGCCAGATCACCGTAAATCATGACATACAGAAGCCTTCTTTGATAATGCCGTAATACGAGTACGCATTCGCAGTAGCTTCTTTGAGTAGAACATGCGTTTGTATTTGCGTTTGTAGAACGTATGTATGCAGACCGCTCATGTGTCGAGTGGTACAAGAAATTATGACTTATCTGTCTGGTGTAAATGCTGAATATTCCTATCGAAAGTGACTATGAAAATGTTTAGTGCGCGGTTCCTTATCACGGACTAACATATAATAAATATGCACGGCGTAGTTGTCTGCGCCTGATAACTTCGAATACCTAGGGTTTTTCAACGTGCGCTGACATTGCGTAGCACTCAGACCTCAAGCATAAAGCCTCTATAGGACTCTATAGGTTTTTATAGAGATGCCGGAATGGACGCCGATTTGCTGAAGTTCAGCAGCTTGGTACCGTTACAGCTTTCCCACCAGGGCGGATGTATTGAAAATGTTTTAGTGCTTTAGAAACCAAGACATGATGGGTTGCATGATTACTTTTTGTGGGAATTCAGCATGCGTTTGTATGTTTGTTTTTCTGCGTTTCATGACATTTTTTGCGTAAATAATGGCTCCCACTGGCCATGCCTTAGGATTTAGCCAGCAAGTTTGATGCCAGTATCGCGGAGCCGCAGCTGTAGCTCTTCAACAGCTTCCACCCTATAATAGTTAAAAACATAAGAAACAAAACGTGCATGCACATTGCCTTAAATTACCGTTTGGCTCAGTGCCTTGGGTCTTCCAACTCGATGAGCTTTGCGTTGCCTCTCAAAAACACTATACTTTCCCAATGCAGAGACGGCATAAAACATAATTTTTTCGCACCACAAAAAGGAACGATTCCTTTGATAAGAATCGTTCTAAAGACGTGCACAAAATGTGTGAATTATGTTGAATTCACACTAGGGTTAGGCAAAATAGGAAAAAAAGGGGGGGGGGGTGACTGTGATAAGGTAGGTCTTCAACGGAGTTTATCACACAGAAGCAGTGTTTTTGTGTTTGTGTGAAGTGAATATATGCCAACGGATGCTCTAAAAAGTAATATGCATTTCGCCATTCTATAGCTATTAGTAGTGCACGTGCATCAAGAAAAATATTGTGGTTCTTTCTGGCACAGCTTGATAGCAGTTTTTTTAATGATATGTGTGGTTTAACGTCCCAAAACAACCATATGATTATTAGAGACGCCATAATGGAGGGCTCCGGAAATTTTGACCACTTGGGGTTCTTCAACGTGCACCCAAATCTGAGCAAACGGCCCAAAACACTTCAGCCTCCATCGGAAGTGCAGCCGCCGCCACCGGGATTCGATCCCGCGACCTGCGGGTCAGCAGCCGAGTACCTTAGCCACTACAACACCGCGGCAGGGCTTGATAGAAGAAGTGCTTCAACAGGGCTGATGTATTTTTCTGAAGCAAGAAACCTCATGAACAAGGTGGCATTTTTCATCATTATTTTGCTGAAGCGCCATATAAATGCTTCAATATTCCTTAGCCCAGCTAGCTCAGCAACCTTCTTTGACGATTAAGTTGGGGTTATCAGTAATGCATATTTTTTTTCACGCGAAAATTTACAAAAAGGTCACAGGTTCGGTTCCTGTCCACGGCAAGTCATTTTTTCACACACTTTTCTTTCTTCACATTTGCATTAGAATTTGACTCCCCCTATACTTTCCGTGGCATTGCCTGTTAGACCTCATTAGTATTGTGTGAAATACGGAAAAACGAGTCCTCAACTGTACGCTCTTTACTACATTCACGAGGGTCTCGTACTCGCAGACTGGGCGCCTTCAGATTGTATACGAGGGACTATTGGTCAGCTACCAGCTCGTAATAAGTTCACGCGCTACGTCACGCCAAACAGGCTCATAAAGTTTGTGCCTCATTTGCCGCTATGCATCTAGGTGGCGCTGACTCACTCTGACTCCCTCTTACTCACTCTGACGCAGCAGTGATGAAAAATAGGGCACTGTGGAAATACAATATTTATGATGTTGGGAGAGAAAATATGGAAAGGGGTCATGGTTCCTGGGCTAACGTTCGGCAATGCGGTCTTGTGAATGCGATCAGAAGTTCAAGCAAGATTGGAAATTAAGCAACGTCGAATAGGCAGGCTTGCTTTAGGAGCTTACGGTAATACACCAATTCAGGGAGCACAGGGTGATATGGGATGGACATCATTGAGGGCAGGGAAGCTAGCAGCAAGATAAAATTTGAGAAGCGATTGAAAGAAATGGGAGAGGAGCGTTGGGCTAGGAAGGTTTTCAGCTACTTGTACATGAAGAATGTCGATACAAAATGGAGGAATCGAACCAGAAAATTGGCTGCTAAATACTTAGAAAACAGCAGGTGGCCAAACCAAAAAGAACTATCGGTTAAGAAGAAAGTGAAGGAAACGGAGACTGACATGTGGAAAATGGGCATGATTAAGAAATCCGCACTAGAGATCTATGGAACCTTTAAGCAGGAAATTGCCAAGGAAAGGATCTATGATAATACTCGGGGTAGTTCTCTACTGCTTGAGGCCAGGACGAGAGTACTGCGAACCAAGACATATCGGGCCAAATACGAAGGGGTAGACACAGTATTCAGTGCGTGTGGAGAGGAAGAAGAAACTGCCGAACACTGGATAATGTTCTGTAAAGGGATTCACCTATAGTTCAGGATGATGGCGCCGAGTTTTTCAAAGCACTGGGGTTTAGGACTGGGAGGGCAAAATAGACTTTAAGCGGGTAGACGTAACTAGAAGGAGGTTATCTGATCGGTGGCTAAAGTCAAGGAACGAGTGAAAATTAAACCCTTCACTGCAAAGTACGAATCATCAAACTCACTTTTTAAAGAAAAAAAATAAATCTAGTTTTTGGTTCATTAAGTATTACGACTTGGTGGCGCTAGCCACCGCCCGATCTAAAGGGTACAGCTATATCCATCCATCCATCTGTTTAATTCTCTTTCTCTCTCTCACGCCCGCACACGCACGCACTATATATATAATATATATATATATATATATATATATATATATATATATATATATATATATATATATATATATATGCATACATAACAGCCGCTAAACACGGCTGCATGAAAGAGGAGAACGAAGTGAGTTCTGGTGTCATCTTGCTCGTCGAGTTCTGTGCGCTGTAAATAGATCATTAAACAAGATACTCGTAACATTATTGGTGGAGGTGGACGATCCACGTACCTCGATGGAGACGCGCAGCGGTCGCACCATCGGCGACCTTTCGACTGCTTCGACTGCTGGTACTTCCTCTATGCCGCCCTCATCAGTCCAAGCCACCACCTACATCCCACTTCCGCACCTCCGGGATCCCGGCACTTTCTCCGGTGATGGTACGATCGATGTTGACACTTGGCTGAAGCGGTACGAGCGCGTCAGTGCTACTCACCGCTGGGATCCCACGCTCATGCTCGGCAACGTGCTTTTCTACCTGGACGGCACTCCCCGAACATGGTCAGAAAGCCACGAAGCCGACATAACGAGCTGGGATCTCTTCAAAGAAAAGATAGGTGACCTGTTCTGCGATTCATCTGGTCATCAGCTTGCTGCGAAAAAGACTCTTGCCACACGGGCCCAGTCTTCTACCGAATCTCACGTCTCCTACATTCTTGACGTCTTGACCCTTTGTTCCAAGGCCGACCAGTGCATGTCGGAAGACGAAAAGGTTAACCACGTCTTGAAAGGAATTCCTGACGATGCTTTCCACCTGCTGGTTTTCAACAACGTCTCGAGCATCGACACAATTCTTAAAGAATGCCGGCGTCTCGAACAAGCTAAAGCCCGCTGCGTAGCCCAAAGCATCGTGCGTCTTCCGAACACAGCGGCCACTTCTTCGTGTGACGACTCCTTCCACCAGGCCCCTCGATGTGACAACCTTACACACATCATTCGTTGAGAGGTCGAGGCAGCACAACCGGTGCCCACGCCATTACCGACGTCTGCGCCTTCCCCGACCACGATATCTTTATTACAAACGGTCGTTCGTCAAGAGCTATCGAATGTCGGCCTACATCTTGTTCCTACCGTATACTCTGCTAAGCCTTCTTATCGTACCCCTTCTGCGCCTCGTATACAACGCAATCCGTTCGAATGGCGTGCTCTTGATGACAGGCCCATATGTTTTAACTGTCGACGCGTTGGTCATATCGCTCGTAACGGCCGCAGCCACTGGGCTCCACCGTCCCATTATGCACCTCAGTATAACACCACTTCTGCTCGCCAGGCGTCCCCACCACATTCTCCATCAACGCCGACCACATTTTCCGCTCCTACAGCACCTCTGAGCAGACCTCGCTACGACCGTTCAACGTCCCCTGCTCGTCGTCAGTCTTGGTCGCCCCCGCAACGCCGCGCTGCCTCCCCGACCTATTCGCAGCATCTCCGACCGGGAAACTAGGCCGTGCAGCTTCTGGAGGTTTAACTGCGTTGACGACCTTCGTAAGAAATCCTCAATTAACGTTAACAACGAACCGGAACCTTTTGGACGTTACTGTCGACAATGTTCGTGTCAGTGAATTGATAGATACTGGCGCGCATGCGTTCATTATGAGTGCTAACCTTCGCCGCCGACTTAGAAAAGTTGTCACGCCCGCCCTCAACCGAGCTGTACGAGTCACCGATGGAGAAACTGACGCGATTCTCGGCATGTGCACTGCGCGAGTGTCTATTGGGGAAAAAGCACTGTCGTTCTTTTCGCCGTTATCGAACATTGCCCTCATGAACTCATTCTCGGTATGAATTTTCTAACCACGCACTCTGTCCTCATAAGCTGTACAGCTGGCTTTCTCTATCTCGAGTTACCCCTCTTTTCCGACCCGACCACCCCACCACAAACCAGCCTCTTCTGCATTGATTTCACGCGCCTCCCTCCTAACTCTGTCACACATGTCGACTTATCCTCCACGCCGCCAGTACCCGATGGTGATTACATGGTGGCCCCGATTCCTGCCGTGATGCTTACGCATGGGGTTGCTGTGCCGCATATGACTCTGACGATTAAGAGAAACCGCACCTTTCTTCCTCTGGTCGACGTTTCACTCGCCACCCAAGTTCTGCCACGGGGTATCTCCCTGGCCAAAATTGCCGCTCTCCAAGATGACCATGTCGAGCCCTTCAGAGTTGACGATTGCTGCAGCTCAGTCAGTGGTTCCACTCCATCACGTTCTTGGGGCGCCGACATCAAGCGAATGGTGTAATCGGACCTCACGTCTGAGCAAGCTGCAGCACTTTGCCTTGTTCTTGATGGCTATCGTAGCATTTTCGACTTTGCCAGCAACTCTTTAGGCCAAACGACCATTGTCACCCACCGCATAAATACTGGCCATGCAACTCCCATTCACCGACGCCCCTACCGTGTGTCTGCGTCGGAGCGTGCAATATTACAACATGAAGTCGGCAAAATGCTTGCGAAAAACATTATCGAGCCTTCATGCAGCCCCTGGGCTTCTCCAGTCGTCCTTGTTAAAAAGAAAGATGGAACATGGCGCTTTTGTGTCAATTACAGTCACCTTAACAAACTTACCAAAAAAGACGTTTATCCTTTACCTCGCATCGACGACGCCCTCGACTGCCTGTACGGTGCCACTTATTTTTCAACTATTGACCTTCGGTCAGGGTACTGGCAGAGATAGCCGTCGACGAGATAAACGGCGAGAAAAGCGCATTCATCACTCCTGATGGTCTTTATCGGTTTAAGGTGATGCCCTTTGGTTTCTGCAATGCACCAGCCACATTTTAAAGAATGATGGACTCATTGCTACAAGGGTTGAAATAGTCCACCTGCTTGTGTTACCTTGACGATGTTATTGTCTTTTCGCCCGCATTCGACTCGCATCTTGATCATTTGTCAGCTATTCTGGACGTTTTTCGTCGAGCCGGACTCCAGCTTAACGCCTCCAAGTGCCGCTTCGCTCGTCGTCAAATTTTCTGCTCGGTCACCTTGTCGATGCCTAAGGCGTGCGTCCATACCCAGAGAAAATTCGCGCAGTCACGAACTTTCCCGTTCTGAGGACCACAAAGGATGCCCGCAGTTTTGTGGGGTTGTGCTCATATTTCAGACGCTTTGTTAAGGACTTTGCGACCATTGCACGCCCCCTCACAGACCTCTTGAAGAAAGACGCCTCGTTTACCTGGGGCCATGACCAACCGTCATCGTTTTCGCAACTTACGACACTGCTTACAACGCCACCAATCTTGGCTCACTTTCATCCATTAGCACCAACCGAGGTTCACACGGATGCCAGTGGACACAGCATAGGAGCTGTGCTATTGCAGCAACAACAGGGACACGACCGTGTTATAGCCTACGCAAGTCGACTGCTATCTCCAGCCGAGCGCAACTATTCCATCACGGAGCGCGAGTGCCTCGCCCTTGTATGGGCAGTCGCCAAGTTTCGTCCATACCTGTACGGGCGCTCATTCCGTGTTGTCACGGATCATCACGCACTCTGCTGGCTAGCCTCCCTGAAGGACCCCACGGGACGTCTCGCTCGTTGGGCTCTACGCTTTCAAGAGTGCACGTTCTCTGTAATGTACAAAACAGGGCGCTTACATCAGAATGCGGATGGTTTATCCTGCTACCCTGTTGACGAAGCAACCGATACTGACGCTATCACGGACGTTTTTTGCGTGTCGCAGCTGTTGAACATTGGCGAAGAGCAACGTCGGGATGCTTCTTTACGAGCCATCATTGACAAACTGGACTCAACGCCTCGCGACCCGTCTCTACGAATGTTTTTGGTGAAAGACGGGATCTTATATCGCCGTAACCTTGATTCCTTCGGATCAGACTTACTTCCTGTCATCTCAGCGCACCTGCGTTCCACTGTCCTGCATCAACTTCATGACGCTCTCATGACGGGCCATTTGGGTGTTTTTTGCACATATGATCAGGTACGACGTCGGTTTTTTTTTGGCCTGAACTTGCCCGCTCTGTTCGACGCTATGTCGCCGCTTGTGAGCATTGTCAGCGTCGAAAAATGCCGTACTCGTAACAATATTAACAGTTTCGACCGGTAAAATTACGGCAACTGCCAAGCTGTCTCTTCTCTTCCCAATTACATTTGGCCTATTGGAAAAACCTCTTTATGGAGTAGCTTTTACAAAGGCGTACTCCTTTCGCATAGGAATGGCGGATATCTCCCGATGTTAATCGTGCGACACTGACGAGACAATGGAACATCTACTGTGTTCATGTAAACGTTTTGCGAGCGAATGAAACTTGCTACGCGAAACGTTAAAGACACTGGACAGTAGACCTTTTTCCGAAGAGAAGATCGTTGGTTCATGGCTCTATGCGTCGCAGGCCAGCAAAGCGACGCGGGCAGTGCTGAGTTTTCTAAAGACGACTGGACTACGCGACCGCTTATAAGCGTGCAATGAACAAGGTCACATCTGCACACACGTTGCCCTTCACTTCTCTCTTTCTTCTCCTTTAATCCCCTCACCCCCTCCCCCAGTGCAGGGTAGCAAACAGGACGTGCGTCTGGTTGACCTCTCTTCCTTTCATTCCTACCCTTACTCTTCCTCCCCCCCTCCTCTCTCTCATATATATATATATATATATATATATATATATATATATATATATATATATATATATATATATATATATATATGCAAAAGAAAAACATCTGTTGGCGCACAAGGTTATAAGTATGAAAGCAGATGCGCTTCTGTTTTATGAATATTTCTTCATTTTCGTGATGCTAAGGTAAATCTGTTATTGACGTTGCATAAGGTCAGCGCTGATTATTTTGTGATTCGTGTGTTCGTTGACGATGTGATCGCGGCTCAAAGCTTCCACGTCTTGAGCCAAAAGGCCATTTGAATTCATTCCTTATTACGTACCTTCCCCCCAAACTCAGCCAAGTGGAGGTTACGATGATTGTTTTGCCGAAAGATTGGCTTGCAACGGACAATGAAATGCGGAGTAGGCAGTAAGTTTGATGCCAGTATCGGGGGAAGCAGCTGAAGCTTTTCAACAGCTTCCACCTTTACGACAGCGCGCAGACATTGGTTGAAGTGAGTACGATGAGACTGAGTGCTGCAGCTGCTAGATACGGTCATATCATCTTTGCTGTTCTAAAGGCACGAGCGCTGCTTAGATTTGAAACGACATTGCTGAGCGCCACATCAGTTGGCTCGCTCATGCCTCAATTATACCCCAAGTAAGGTCTAAAATAGAACACGTTTCCCATAACCTCGGAATCCATGGTCACCGACCTCACAAGTGCGGCACAATTGTACATACAGACCACGCCTTTCCGAAGGTCCGTGGCCATTTCAGTTGTCCACGAACGTCGTTTTCACTCATTTGCGTCGTACATTTGTGGTCCTTTGTGTACCGTTTTTAATTAAGCGAGTGAAGTTTACAGATAACCTCTCAATATGACATTTAATAAAATAGATGTTCTTGGAACCAAAAAAACATCCTCTCAATATGATATTGAATATCGTAGATGTTCTTAGGACCAGAGAAGCATTCGCTGTTCCAAATTAGCAGAGAACGAAATAACTAGCCTTACAAGACAAATAGAAACAATTGTCGAAAAATTGCATTTCGTCCCCCCCCCCCCTGGAAAGATACATTACTAACGGGTCTCTGGCTGTCATGCGGCAACTCAGTGCCTAACTTCGTGCACAGACACGAGTAAGTGCGTTGTGCTTTCCACTAGCGTATCTCTTGCTGGTCGAATGAGGACGCATAAGAGACACTCGCGTAGTAATGTGGCTGTTGTGATGAAGCGCTAGGCATAATGCGACGCGAAAGAAGGCGAGACATGCCAACTAGCCTCTCCTTATCACTCTTTTGGAGCAGTTGGTACCATGTCAACAATGCTGTCGTGCATTTAAGTGGCCCTGCGGAGAAAACTAGGTCTGAAATACTAATGCGCCGTGAATGAAAATGCATACATGTTTTAAACTGCATTGCTACGACACTGCGAGTGCTGGAAGCGCAGACCCATCTCGCGTTCGCGCCGCTAATGGAAATATCTGTGGCGCAGTGACCATCCTGATTCTGCTCGCGTAGACGGAGAAGCCCGTCGTTCGATTCCGCGATGGGTAATAAGTGGTGCTTTACGAGCCAAAGCCACGAAATGTTTGAGGCTTGCCGTAGTGGAGGCTTCCCGAAATTTGAACGATCTGTTATTCTTTTCACTGATGTCGCACAGTACACGCGTTTTTGGCACGCACCACCTGCCGAAATGTCATCGCCACGGACAGGATCATATCTCCAATTGCCTTAGTGGCAGCAACCGAGCCCAGCAACCACTTTACCAACGGAATGAAATAGGGTTCAATGATCGAATACTCATTCCACGTTCTTTCCAAAGTCATTCTTTGCCATCTTTTGGAACGCTATATTGCTATCACTACGGTCAGCGGCGATATGCTTGCAGGTGACGTCATTGTGACGAAGAACCCGTGTATGCATCCCGGTGACATCCGCAAGCTGACCGCTGTGAACGTGCCCCAGCTGCACCACGTGCGTGACTGCATTGTCTTTCCGGCCAAGGGCGACAGACCGCATCCAGATGAGATGGCGGGTAAGCACGCCTTGCCTTTACGTATGCACGCTTCTCTGCATCGCGCTTGCATCCAGGTATTGTCCAGTACAACAAACGACCAGCTCGAGCCAGCTTACTGTGCGGCAGTGTTTTGTAAAGGTGGGGTCACCAGCCATCTGGTTCACAATCTCAGCCTGGAGACACAGTATGCGCATTCATGAGTCCTTTGAAGAGGAAATGCCGCCGACTCCTAAAGCTGTATCGAACTGTAGTGGTGGCAGCTGTCGAAACGCAAGCTGCACGTGGCAATACATATTTACACAGTGAAAGCCTTGCTTCTCTCGAATTACCGGTGTGAGTCTGCGCTCCCACATAATCGTCATACGTACACAGGGCGTTACGTATAGACTTTCGAGGATGTTAAGCTGCATTTTCTTAATGCGAATGTCCGAAGGCGAGCGTAATGTGGTTGTGGATTTAGCCTCGTGCACGAACGTGATAGTGAAATTGCTGAGGAAGTCGAGATGATGAATACTCGTTAGGATGTTGGCTTCAGGTTTACAGGTACTCGCAACGAGTGCGGGTTTGCTAACGCATTGTAGTCACCAAAAATATCGATTTTCTCCGCTTGTGAATGAGGCTTGGTGACGCATCCGTTAGGAAGCCCTCTCTACCTACGAGTACGAATAAATACCCGTTTCTGCGCATGATGTGTTGAATGCCTTTCTGTGAGCCGCGTTTGCATACTGAGCAGCTGTCTCTTCGAGGCATTTCCACCTCGGATTCAATGACGATACTGTTACTTCGTCAAAAACATGATTATTTATTTTTCACTTGACCATCGTGCGCAAAGCAGGTATATCAGTCGGCAGGGGAAGGAAACAAACTGTTGTAAGTAGCACCTGTGTGTGTATGCCTATTCCTATGGTTTTTGTCTTTTGTGCGTTCAACCCATCCAAGTATGACCAAACCACAAGCCCGGATCCCTACCCTAGTCTGTCTTAAGCCCGATGCTAGAAGGAATGACATTACGTTCTCGCTACGTCTGTCGAAAAAGGAAAGTCGATATTTAACGTAGTGAGCCCGGGTAGGTAAACAGCATTTGAGAAACTTTACGCGGGTGAGATGGTATGCAAATATGATTTTATTACCTGATGGGTGAACGAAGATAGAGCCGGGGTGTGTCTTCCTGGATGCTATATTCTGAAATGGTCCAAGAGAGTAATAATACTGATTCTCCGAAATGGCGTACACGTAGTTTTGTGACGCCTAAAAAAGCCTCAGTAACCAGTGGGTTTACATTTGTCTGTATTGTAGCACATAGTCAATGAAAAGAGAACGTACATTCGTAAGTTTATAATACCCTTCCAATGCATGGGTATCAGCTCTGAAGGTTTCACCAGTTTCGACTGAATGGCGCAATAAAGAAGCATCCTAATTATAAACCTTTAAAATATGAACTCCTTTATCAGGGCAAAAAGGGCATCCTCGTTATCATTGGTGTGCAAAAAGTATTTGTAAAACGTTTTAGTATCTATCAGTAACGCAACACATCATGTCGGTGAACATTCACAGGAAATAAGGCAGCCACTGCCAATAATATGATCGCCATGAAAGGCAATGTTGTCCGTTAGCTGCTTCTGTATACGAGACATTAATTACATGGGGCGGATTACCTCAGCGTGGTTTCATTTTAACAGGAAAGTGTTTTATACCGGTGTCTACTGTGCCTGCACTCACGTACATACGTCAGGGAAGTGACGTTGAAAAATATACCAAGAGACTGCAAATAAAAAAAACCAGTAGGCAAGCAACTCCCACACGGAATCGAACTAGCAACTTCTCGTTCCTCAAAGCGTGGCGCGAACCACACGCGGAGAGCCTACATTGCCTGCAATGCAAGCCATTAATGTACACCATATACTGTTTGGCTATAGTGTCTAAAATCTACTGGCACGAGAGTTTCACAGTCCTCAGAATTTTTAAAATTAAGTGCGTTTTCGATATCAGTGGCGGGATGGCTTGACAGGCCTCGCGTTTGGCGCACTCTGTTGTCGCATTCACTAAGCGCCGTCTCTCCAACGCGCGCGCTTATCAGACTCGTAATTAAGGAGAGGACAAAAATCACTTCGCACGCTGCCACGGCCGCGTTTACAAAAAGAGCGCGCTGCTGACCAATGACGCAGAAAGAATTGGGGCACTTATTGGCGCCTGCTTTGTGTGCGCTCGTGTCGTGCGTCCTTCTGTTTGTACAGCGTGGCTTAAGTGTCGAGATGTTACAGAAGTTAGTCCGCGCTCCTCCTGTGTGTGCTAATTTCGTGCGCACTTTCTGCTCGAGGTGTGCGCTGCAAGTTTCGAGTTGCTTGCCGTTCCTAACGGGAATTATATATATATATATATATATATATATATATATATATATATATATATATATATATATATAAGAGATTTGCATCGTTTTTTTTCAACTGTCTCCAAGCATCGTCCACCTTTATTCTGAACATTTATCTTACGTTCAAAAGGAGCAGCTTAAAGTCGCACGTGTTCGAGCGACGTACAATGCTCAACTCGGCTGTCTATAACGACGAAGCGTCGCACGCGGAACAGCACGAGCGACATCTGCAGTCGCAACTACGCCACATCTAAGCATGCACGACGCCAATGATGTGCCTGCCCTGCAATTTCTACCCTTCTTTTTCTCCGCGACTGCGATGGCTGCTTTGGCCGTCGAATCATTGTCAACATTACAAAATCGGAATAAAACAAAAAAGAAATATTCTCGCTTCGTGATATCATATCGCAGCGACAACGGTTTTCCTTCGTCTTTCTTTCTTGTTTTTTGTTCGCGAAATCGCTCAGAGCGCTTTCGATGGCCAAAGTGGTTGTTGCCTCCGCGGCAATAAACAGGGACCAGTATTGCGAGGCAGGTACATCACTGGCGCCGCACATGCTCAGATGTGGCGAATTCGCACCTGCAGATGTCGCTCGTGATGTTTCGCGCATGACGCTTCGTCGTTATAGACAGCCGAGTTGAGCACTGTGTATCGCGATATATTAGAAGCTGAAAAGCGCCAGCAGAAGGCGTTGTCGTCGCGTCGCTGCCGATGAGCCGTTCCATCCGAGCTGAGTGCTTGAATAAACTTTGTGCAGACCATACAGCACTGGTTACCTGGAAATACACTTAGAAAGGAGAAGGTTCGTGTGTAGCTCGTAATAAAACTTGACTGCAGTGCTTCATCGAGCTCTCTACGTTTTGATGCTTCACTTAATGAAGAAAGACTGCGTGTTACCGTCATACCAGTCATTTAGCGTAGAGGTGTTTACTTGAGGGCTTGCTTGACACAGAAAGTTGTCAATGCACCTATTTCCTGCAGTCCTGCAGAACTCTGTGCAAAGTTGAATGTATCGTGCTTGGCTAAGTTGCCTAATATACGTAGAAATAATACCGCTTGTAAAGCTTACCCGTAAGGCATCGAGCCTTTTTTTCAGTTTTCAACAAAGCACTTCTCTATTGACTGATGCAGGCTCTGACCTCGATGGCGACGAGTACTCTGTGCTGTGGTATGCTGATCTCATCTTCAGGACAAACTGCAGCCCGATGCAATACTACAGCGATCCACCCCGTGAGCAGAAAACACCGATTCAGGTAAGTGGCTTTCTTTCGATTCAATTGTCACGTCGACATTTCTTTCAGTTACACGAGATGCAATAAATCGTTCACTCTGGTCTAACAGGAACCAATAAAAGATTAGCAGTAGATGTGTCCATACGTCCGTGAAGGTGATAGTTTTACAGCTCATCGTATGTCCTCTGCTAACACGCTGCAGGAGACATACAGAACACGATATTGAGCTTTATATGCTCTGCATCTTGTAGGGAGGACAGAAAGTAATCTAAAGACAAATACCTTTTGTTTGCATTCCTGGGACCTTGTATGGAAGGTTGCACGATTAAACACTTTTTCTGCTTCTAAATCACTCTTTCAGAGTGACGAGAAAGTGGCTTTTTATTTACCTTTCACTACTCAATTTTATAGGCACTGATTTCTTCTCGTCGCTAATTTCATCGTAAAACACGTGTAAATTACGCATTAAGTCTATAGAGATTTCTGGCTTGTCAGCTAAACACCTTTATCCCCGCTTGTGCAGTAAACACACAAAAAAAAGAAAATCAGAATATAGCGCGGGATATACATGTGAGACAAAGCTGACTGGGTGGGTGACCGCAACGCAAAGCCAGGTAGGAGACAATTCACTACTGGTACCCTCGCCCAATCGAGGCTTCATTTCTTATTCACGTAGTTTGAATATTCTATGACATCATCAATTGTGCTGAAATAAAAAAAAGAATTGTTGGCATTTACCGTCCCAAAATCACCATATGATTATGAGAGACGCCGTAGTCGAGGGCTCTGGAAGTTTTGAGCACCCGTGGTTCTTTTTAACCCGGGCCTAAATATAAGCACAAGGGTCTCAAAAGATTTTCGCCTCCATCGAAAATGCGGCCGTCATGGCCAGGATTCAGTTCTTGCGATCGGTGGATCAGTGCTAAAAAAGGGGAGGGGGAAGGAAACGCAAGAACATGTTACGCGCTCGTTCTTCGTATCGTCATAAGTAGTCATGAACGATTTCACTGCGGAAAGTTGTGACACTCGTTACCCGAACAATTTCTAAAATGATGCGTGAACTGTGATTGGTCTGGAGCATGCTCGACTGAAAAAAAGATTGTCCTACAGGTGCAGGACATGATTGACTTTTTCTGCCAGTACATCAAGGGGGACAAGATCGGCCTCATAGCGAATGCGCACCTCGTGTGGGCGGACTTGCTGGACGCCGGCATCAATTCGCGCCGCTGCCGCGATCTGGCGCGCAAGTGCTCGGTCAACCTGGACTTCGCAAAGTGCGGCGACTTGAAAGGGTTGCAAAACTCCGAGAAGCCACCCATGTACCCGGACTTCATGGAGAAGCAGGGCGCCAAGAACACGTACTGCTCGCGAAAGGTCCTGGGCCAGCTGTACAGGAACTGCAAGAAGGTAAGCACCTCACGCTTGAAGTCTCACCGTTCGCACACCACAAGAAAAAGTAGATCGCCTTAAAGGTCTTTTACTCAAAGGCTCAAACCTCAAAGGCGCTCATATAAGGATGGATTAAGATTCGTGAACGATTGGGTGGTTCTTTTCGTCATGTTATATGGGAGTGTTCTTGAGGTGACATTTTAACGCGTCTTATTGCACGTGTTTTCCATCACTGTTAACATCGATGGGGTATATTTTAAGGAACTGATACTGGTTAATTAAAAAAGTGCTTACTTTTTAGCTGTGGGTACTGGTTAACTAGAAATGTACCCCGGAATTATTGTGAAGTTTGCTTCAGTTGTATATCTGGTCACTGACTATTGATTTTACGAAAATCAAATAATGTTGCAGCTTGATCTGAACGCGCGTGATAAGGTAGCCTTACCATGGTTGCGGGATGAAAAAGCGCACTGTAAATGGCCATGGCATTAGACTGTCTTGATCGATTGGGGGGGTTTACGTCCCATAACCACATTAGACTGTCTTAAAGGGACACCAAAAGTGTCGACGTTGATTGTTGAAATAGTGGCCCAGAAACCTCGTAGGGTTACGTTTGTGCCAAGAAAGAGTTTATTTTGAAATAAATCATGATTTAGAGGTCCGCAACGGTCAGCGCACTGCAAATAACCGGCCTACAGCGGATTGTTTCACGTCACAGCGGCCATGCACAACGTTGCCCGAAAGAACGAAAGTAACGGGAGACACAGCAGCTGCAATGACCATTGAAAGATTGCCTGTCATGGCCTCCGAGATGGCAGATTTGCATAGTTAAACAGGGCCACGCTAGATGACATGACCTGTCCAGTTTAACCAAGCGAAAACTGAACTTTTCAGCGACTCGCGCCGTTCTCTATAGTATAACGTCTGGCGGTTCTTATTTCAATGAATCAGAGGTAAAAAAGCAGCATTTTATTACATCTCAATGCACTGAAGGTTCCTGATTTCATGCAGCTAGTTTGATTACTAGTGGATCACTAGGTGGTACATTTCACGTAATCTGGATCGTTTTGCGAATGTCCTACGCGTAGCGCATGAATTCTCGTGCATTTGCCCTAATATCATGATAAATAGGGTGCTTCTTTTTATAGTTTTTGTCGTTTCAGACGTTGTCATACATTCATATTTCACTTTCACGTAAATTGGTATTCAACTTTAGTGTCTCTTTAATCCATCCGCTCATTATAGGAAGCGGACACCCGAGAATACACCAATTGCTCCCATTTCCTTACGTCACAGTTCACTAGTGTGAACGCAGACAACTGAGAACTACTTAAAAGTATGAATAATTTGCGGTTTGTCTAACCAGGTTCAGCTGAGCACCGAGTACCTGGACGTTGTAGAGAACACATTACCTGATCCGCGGTTGCTGCTGGAAGGACGAGAAGCTTTCTTGAAAGAAGCGAGGACTTCCTACCGAAGGTGATACTCCGAAAACGTCTGCGTAGCGTTTCGCGGCGGTGATACTGCCGCCGTTTATTATGCCTATGAAAAAAAAAACGCGCCATGGTTATTGCAAAAAATGCATAATACATACTAGTGTACTCCCTATTTTTCTTGGTCTCGAATTATCGGGAACACTGCAGTGCTTGCCGCATATTTCACGACGGAAACGAAAAAAAAAATTATTGAAAGCAAGAAATTTTCACGTGGACCGCTTCGGTGCCCGAATTACCAACGCTCTTCTTTCGTAAATGACTTTTCACGCTGATTTGACTCTCCGATTATTACCCGCAAAATAGGAATTATCGGAGCGCGAACCATAATTCACGAGGACACCTTCGCTTATGGACAATTTATTTTGCTGATTGCAGGTTTTTGCAAGCAGGTCACCGTCTTGCTGTCCCTGACTCACCGGTATAAAACAGAGTCGAATCACCAACGCGTTTTCCGAGAGCCCATTTGCGGGCGTATTTGTGAACGATCTTCTGCGTACCAGCATTAGTCATAGAAAGCCAAAGTCCATACTGGTACCAAGTGTGGACTCACTATTCCGAACTGAGCCCACCTCATACGTGTGCTTGCCTACTTATCTATGTAAAACAAACAACGGCTAATCACAAAACCATGTCAATGTACTTGAAACTACAGCACAGTTCGTCTGTAGCTGATTATCGAAGGCACATGGAAGGACGACCACCTTTCTCTTTATTTACCGCCTGCTTTGGGTGATAAGAACCAATACATATGATTTCCGCACACCACCCAATTTTCTCTCGTGTCTCGCATTGTTTAATTTTCTGTCGTCATTAAGCTTCCTCTTGTGGCGCTTTTGCTGTCCTGGAACAGTACGGTGTAGTCGAAGGTATACCGCGTGCGGTGGCAGTGTTGTTGGCAGCGCCTCCGTGCATGCAGGTACGCAATGAAGATTCGGGCGCTGCTGAAGTCGTACCGCATCGACAGCGAGAGCGAAGCCCTCTCCGGTGCGGTGTCCAAGTTCAGCATGTTCGTGCAAGAGAAGAGCGACCCCACGGACGTGTGTATGGTTCTCGAGAGCCAAGTGGAACACGTGATTCGCAAGACGCGCGAGGAATTCTTCTCCCACACTGTCAGTCAACTGCAGGAGAACTTGAAGGCCTCGGCGTGGTACCAGGTTTGCCTATGTCGTCAATATATTCGTAATGATGATAAGAGCTGGTATCGTTCAACTCCCGCCGAATCACCTTGTGCCCGGTGGCCATAATTTTATAAGTAAGAATGACGTATCCGCGTAAGCGCATTAACTATATAGATTGAGCTTGTATCGCATAAAATTCGGTGTCGTCGTGGGCGATAAATCTATCACACATAGTTCATAAAAGCGACGCATACGAGGTACTGATTTGGGTTTTTTTCACTTGTTTAGTGTTAAATGAAACGCGAAGCCTCCAACAGCGTAGAAAATGTGTGGATAAACTAAGGTTCATTGTAAAAAAAGCATGTATTGCAAAACAGGTATCGGTTCCTACTGTACCCTACAATCACTGCATCATGTACCGTATCCTGAGCGTCTGGTCACGTAAGAAAAACTTGGCAATAGCTAGTGGGTAAACTCAGATAAACTTTTCTTGCGGAAACCAACCAAAGAAAATGAACACAATGAAGAAAGATGAACAACAACAAAAAATAGGTGTTTTGTACTTCTTCGCAGTGTTCAGTTCCCTTTCTAAGCTTGCACAAGAAAATAGTCTTAGCAGATGACACAAGATTGTCGTCTGCTATGAGAAAGAGATTGTGAGAAAGAACACACGAACAAAGCTCGTTTTATTAAATGTTCAACTGGTTTAATTTAAAAGATTCCGTTGAGCTGCGGCCGGACTTACATCGGCCAGACTGGCCGGTGTAATAATGACTGACTAGCATAGCCCACGCTGTCTATTGAAGGACGGGGCCGGGTCTTATCACTTCGAGGCTTGCAGGGGTAAACCACTGCTAGGCGACGCAAGCATTTTGGGGAACAACAAAGACAAGGTGGCACAGGAACTGGCTGAGGCTCTACGTACAGAAAGCTCGTGATCTTGGTGTCAGCGTTCCCTCTGTAACTATTTATCAAAATGAGTATGGTTTTTTGAACAATAGGTTTCGATCAAACGATGTTTTTCCGAGATGGTTATTTTGCTTTCTGTAGTGTTTTGTGCATCCTTGAGGATTCTCAAGCTAAGCATTCAGAAGAATAAAGTTTAGTCGCGAGTGTGCGCTTTTGCGTGTGTTACGCGCCTTCCTCGTTCCTGCCTAAACTTTTATTGACATGTGGGGTATAACGTCCCAAGACTGCCATATAATTACGCTATTTAAACGTTTGCACCATCCGTTCAAGTTCAGTTATGTATTGTTCCCCCAGTTTCAGAATTGTCAGAGCTGCTCCTGTATACAGAAGACATTCATAACGGGACCAATTCAGCTGCGAAAAACTATGGTCAGTGCACTAATAAAGGGGTCATAATAAGTACAAATTTTTTCATACGATGTATTGTTCCGTACTCCTTCACAAACGTGATGACGATATTTTAGTGAGTTTAGTCATGCCCCTTATAACTTAACTTTCTATGAGCACGCGAGCAGCTCGGTAGTCGTGAAACACTGGCGCAGTCATGACTCTCGTGCCTTGACTTCACAAGCTGCTTTGTGTGTCAACGTCCTCATTTCGGCGCGCGACTAGGATATTGACTGCGCGTGCAATCGAGATATTTCCGCTTTTTTTAGCTTGGCCTTGAAATGGAAATATTTGAAGCTGCTGAAATTTTCGTTGAAGATGGAGATTTCGCTGCCTGACGTACATAGGCAATGAAAAAATTGCAGCTGCTGGCGGGCACAGTAGGCCCTGTAATTTTTTTTTTCGCGAAAACGTAAAAATTTTTAGCGACTATTTCATGGCCCCTTTAAACGTCCTCCAACTGTTCACTGCCTTTATTGTGCCTATTTTGTATTATTTGCCGAATAGATTCCACAAATGTGGTTCTAAGCACAGTGGTTTCACTAGGTTTAGGCCGGGCGCTCATACTGAGCCCGAAGTCTAACCAGTCCTCTTGGTGAAACTAGGTACAGCCAGTGTTTGCAGGTTTGGGCCGAGCCCTAGGTTTGCCTGCTGAGCTTTTGAGCACACGTCATTGCTTGCATAGGTATATAGAGAAAACAGCGATTTTTTACTGCATAGACCAGAGAAGAAAAAGCATTCAATTTCTTTCAGTGAAGTAAATAAACTCATTGTTTAGTAATTGAAAAGAACCAGTGTAAATGGTTCAAGAATTTTTTTCGAAAATTTGCATTCTTTTACAAAAAGAAAACCACTTTTTGATAGGATGGTTTTGCGAAGACCTATTTCACTTTTGTCATTTTCGTTTATTGAAGCACATAAGCGTTTATTCTAGGCATTCAATTTAAAAATACGAAAATGTGTCGTGAGCGTTGTGCGGTATGGGGCGTTTTGAGATTCAAGGCATGAATGCCGTCGTACTATTTTTATAGGGTCACGCCAATGTGTGAGTATTGCGCAGTCAAACAAATGAAATGTGAATATAAAATAACCTATGGCTGACCTATGGCTGACCGTAGCCGTGACGGTCAGCTATGTGATTGCGAAATATCTTTAGTTGCTCAAATTGGGCTTGCGATCCGAAATTATGCTAACATATATACCGGTACTTAGGGAAAAAAAATTGGCAGAGTCCCCGTACTGTGGGAATCTGTAATATGCGAAGCACAAATGAGGACGGTTGAAATGTCAATTTAAAATGAGCACAAAGTTACAAGGCCGACGTAAATTATGCCTTGAATAACTTCCATGTCAGGATTGTCATGTTTAGATATGTCATTTTCTTTCGTCGTCTATTCACGTCACGTGAGCACAGATTTAGTATCGCGTGAGGTAGTATTTGCAGCTAGCGAAACGGCCGTGAACACGCTGTCAGCGTAGAATCTAGTCATGTTTTACATCACACATACGTGATAATTATCATGTTTGGACATGTAATTTACCTTCGTCGTAGATTCACGTCATGTGATACCAAATTTGGTATATGTGGGGCTAGTGAAATGGCCGCAAGTGTACTATGAGATTAGCATGTAGTCATGTTTTGCATGACACGCATATCAAGGTTACTATGTTTAAATGTGTCATTTACCTTCGTAGTCTATTCACGTAATACAAACTTGGTATATGTGGAACTAGTGAAACGTCTGCGAGTGCACCATGAGCATGGCGTGTAGTCATGACAAGTCATAACATGAAAATCATGACATGCATATCATGATTTCCACGTTAGGTCTGTAACTTATGTTCGCCATGCAGCCACGCAATACAATACCACTTTTGCAAAATGTCATAGAAGCAGCAAGACCATGAAATGTAAATTATGACATTCATCACATACATGTCATGACATTCATGTTATGACTAGTCAGTTATTGTGTTCATCCAGCCATATTATGCCATATCATTCTTGGTATTGATACCATTATCGAAACGGCCAGGAGAGCTAAAAGTTGTAGGTGGCTAGATAGATAGACAGACGGATAAATAGATAGATAGATCGATAGATAGATAGATAGATAGATAGATAGATAGATATGCTCGCCGAAGTTCTCTGACAAATGCTTCGCATTAAAAAAAACGAAGCGTGCATATTAGGTGATTACTGTTGACATTTCAAGTGTTCATGCGTGTGCACATATGGTGGGAAGCCCATGCTATTGGCAAGGGATGAAAAAATATCCTTTAATAGAAATTGTTGCTCCATAGAAAATTTCGACAAGTGTCCGCAGTAATTATACTAGTGGGAACGCTGCTGGATTGAGTGACATTATTTTTCTTGGAGGATCTCTTCAATCCTCCGCTTTCTCTGTACATTTCTTGTTTAGTAGCACGGGCAATTCGGCGACACCTGGAGATGATAAAAGCACACTGTGCAGGTCACGTACGAGCTGCAGGCGTCAGAGGGAGGCATTCAGAGCTTTCCGTGGGTCGTGCCTGACGTGATAATGCGCATTCTGGCGGATGCTAGCCAGTCAGCATGCGACGCCGTGGCCCCTTCTCGCAACAGCTTCACGCAACGGCTGGGCGCCCTTCTGCTTGATAGGACGCCGGCCGGCGGCGATGGACCGAGTTCAGCGGACCCGAAAGACGAGGCTCGACTCCTCAACAACCTGCTGAAGATGATGTACGACTGGATAGACTGCAATCGGGAGTTCCTCTTCGTGAAAGAGCCCCAGGAGGTCGTCATCTACAGGAACATCATGCGGGAGGCCTGCGTCAAGGTATGGAACCACAAACCAGAATAGAATCGTGACACACATGCATGCATCTACCACATGGGTCGAACGCATGGTCTGTCGTACCGCTAGAATCTCAAGAGCTCCCAAATTAGTAAGTGCACACATGTCTTGAGATGAGCCGTGATAAGGCGCAACAGAACAATCATCTGGAGTTGGCCATGGTGCCTCTGGAGCAGTGGTAGATATGGCAACTTCTATTGGGGCTACTGCGTTTCAATAAATTGTTATCACATGGAGCCGACTGCATGAGTGCAGAGTCAAGGTAAACAAAGCCCTTATGCGTGCCTACTATCTATATAGCTTATTGAATTGTCAACCAGCGTATAAATCTATGCGTGGCAAACTTAGTACCAGCTCAGTGATCGAAGCAAAAGCCATTCAGTAGCGTTAGGCTGCGATTTCACGTCAGCTGGAGAGATATGCATAGCAGCAAGAATGTACAAAGGTGCATGCTCTGAGCATCGTGTACTGCCATTACAGTGGTCCTGCAACATTTTCCAAGTTGAATCGTGGGGTTGGATCGAGTTTTTGTTTCTCCTATGTGAACAATGAGACGTTCCTTGTGTCGAGGTGTTGCAATTACCACTTTCTGACGCAGACATGGACGTTCGGCTTCCCGGTCCTTTCTCTGCTCCGCGGTGGTGGCGGGCTACTGTGTTTCAATATATTGTTATCACATGGAGGTGACTGTATAAGTGCAGAGTCAAGTTAAACAAAGTCCTTATGCGTGACTACTATCCATGTAGCTTATTGAATTGTCAACCAGCGCATAAATCTATGCGTGGCAAACTTAGCGCCAGCTCAGTGATCGAAGCAAAAGCCATTCAGTAGTGTTAGGCTGCGATTTCACGTCAGCTGGAGAGATATGCCTAGCGCAAGAATGCACAGAAGTGCATGCTCTGAGCAGCGTGTACTGCCATTACAGTGGTTCTGCAACATTTTTCCAAGTTGGATTGGGGGGTTGGATCGAGTTTTTGTTTCTCCTATGTGAGCAATGAGACGTTCCTTGTGTCGAGGTGTTGCAATTACCACTTTCTCACGCAGACCTGGACGCTCGGCTTCCCGGTCCTTTCTCTGCTCCGCGGTGGTGGCGGGGGCGCTGCAACTAGTGCCGACGTTGACGTTGTTTTCGGCGTTTCGCGCACTGTTACACAAAAAGAGAATGACGGAAGCGCAGCGAACGTGCTCTTTCACAACCTCGCATCTTCAAAATTCACATGCCGGCGTTGCCGTTTACGTTCAGCTTTGCAAACAGCCAAAGAGCCGAGAAAGGAACAGGAGAGGAGAAACGAAAGGTAGGTGGTGCTCACGCTACGTCCTCCACCATGTTTCCTCTCACCTCCTCGCGCTCACCAGATGAGAGTGGGAGGCTAGGCCCAAATGCAGTTTGGGTGCGCCTGCGCTATCGCCCCGGAAATGAGAAGTTTTCGCATATAAAAATCCTCCGCACCCCAACAGTGGAGTATGATACTGAGAAAAACTAACCTACAAGGATTTCAAGTATCCGTGCTAATCAGTCCTGGTAGTGTGATTCGGGCATAATACCCTTGCACCTGATTGTATATCGATGCTTCTGACGGCTGTGCCATGCTCGTGCTTTTGTAGTATGGTCACCAAGTCTTTCTAGGCATCAAAATCCACATTGAAGGCACTTCTACAAACATTTCGTACAGACTTTCCAGGGAAACTTTTCTCTTGGGTTTATCTACTTGGCTACATCTACCTTGTGCGCCTTTCACTTCCGCCTTAGCCGGGCTTCGTCGTTGTCGAAGAGCTACATTTATGGGATATACAAATGATAAGCTACTGTGTCTTCACTGCCTTTCCTTTCCTTCCTTTCGTCTATTTCATTACGCCTGCTTCATTTACTGTATTTGATTCCTCCGTTCATATGTAAGCGGTGAATTGAGAACTGCTTAAAATTAATTTCGTCGTCTTCAGTGTGTATACTCATCTTTTTGTCTGATGAACGGCCTTCTGAATGTATAACGGCTTCCCGCTGTTCGATTGGTGTAGTCTCTTTGCTCCCAAGCACCTGAATTGTTCATGCTCTCTTGTAGTAAATTTTAGGGGTACGATGACGTTAGTTTAAGGCGTCAAAGAGGTATCTCAAAAGTCAAAATTCTTTTTTGATGTTGATCATTCGTTTCGTGTGCTTTATTGCGAAAACGTCAGTTTGATGACTTTCACTATGTTTCTCCATTTTAGCTGCACTAGGCTCGTCTAGTTTCTGTGCAACAAGATCACTGTTGAATACGCTATGGCCTAATTGCCTTGACATAGGCGAAGATAGTATTTCCTCTAGTACTTCCTTTTATTACACTGTCGTTTTCAGTGCAAAGTAGCCTGCCATGCGTTAAATGTGTATGTGGTGTTACTTCACGCTCTGACCGTAGCGGAAGTTATCCGATTGTCATAAATATAGACTTGTTCTATATCTGCTTATACGCGATTGAATCCCACCATGTCTCAATTTCTATATCAATTTGTTTCGGAAGCTAGAACGGGTCAATCGACAATCACGAGACATTAGATATGGCTAGCGTGATGGCCACGCGTACTGGACTCCGCTTTTCAAAACGGGTCTTCAATGATTCAGTTCAGTGTTTGAAATATGTGAAAGAACTGGCCAGCCACGTCAAGAGGTTCAGTCGGAGTCAACATGGTATCCGCCTCGGAAGTTTCGCACAACTCGTCCATTGTCGGGCTCTCATTCTTAACGATCAGAGTATGGGGGACAGTTCCGCCTCACACAAAACTTCAGATGCGGTCAAGAATTCGTAGAGTCTGCTGCGTCGCACCTCTTTCACGGCAACAAAGTGTCGAATAAAGGACGAGCCGTGACTACCTATTAATTCTAGCACCGATAAAAATTTGATAATAATGATGATGGCCACTCCTTGTCACTTCCAATGAACCGAGCTCACTAAAAAAGCGTGTCAATACATAACATATTTTGAACAGGCTGTTAGAACAGGTCGAAAAACAAAATGGCCAAAGGAAAGATACGGTAGTAAGCAAGGCCCGCAAGTTTTGCTAACTACCGGGCTGCTTTCCGAGTTAAAATGAAACCCCTCTCGGAGACTGCCGTCGCACACTTGAAACGCCCCAAGGCGCGCCACATTGACATCACGCGCACGTCATTCGGTGACCTGCAGACATCCCTGCTAAAAGTGACCTGTCAGACCTCTCATCGTTACCTGGTTTTGTCAAGCGTGACCAAATATGCAGAAATCCAAGGAATGTGTTTTGTCTTTGTTAGTTTCATTACAACCAATCACAATCGCGTATAAACGCATCACGTCCGCCCTCTTGGAAGATGACCTACAAATTTGGATACACATGCGTGCCTTGCGACACGACGACGCAATTCAACGCATCTATTTCTACGCCCACTCCTTCCAAGACGACCAAAGAGAGGCTAACTAATCATCTAGATAGCAGCCCCGACTACAAAATAGTAGACGATACACGCCTGGTGACTACAAAGAGTTTACTATTCACGCACTTAAGAACCACCTACAGCGGTTCCCACAACTTGGCGGCCTCCTCCGAGTATGCGTCTGATATGTTAGGGTAAAAGGATGCTTAACTGCCGAAAGGCTGGGCACCGCTACGATGTATGCGCTCAACCCATATGCCGCCCGTGTTTGGGAATAGGACCACGAGCCGACGCCACAAAGAACACGACCCATATTTCAAGCGCTCTGTGTCGTCTGTCAAATAGGACAAATGATGATCACAAGACGAACAGCTCAAAATGAGCATCGCTTTGCAAATAAAAGAATGCGGTCACCAACAAATGCCACGCAAAATAGACACAAACAACAGTTCCACGCAGGCACTAGCAAAGCAGCCAGGATGGAATAACGATGGCCCACTTTACTTGGACGAGCACCACTACTCCACTCTCGGAATATCCCAAACAACAATATGAACAGCCGGTAAAGGTCACGATACCACCTGCACCACGCAACTTCCCCCCCAAGGCACTGTGCGTTAGGCATTCTTGTGTCGCAAACTGCATTCGCACTGCGCTACCACCATGCATCCAGAGAAAAATTGCGATCATCAAGTCGCACTTTGCATGCCAACTGAACGAAAACTTCAGTGAGCCCCACCAGAGTGCCACTGACGATCACCGTCGCCAGTTCTATCATCTGACCCCTTGTCACACTCGTGCGAGTCAACGCGACATCCGCACGTAAAAAACCTTACCCAAACAACCTATGCAGTAATGTCCCACATGGTGATGCAACAAGCTCACGTTAGAACGCCGCTACAAAACAAACTGTCACTACACTGGTACAACACAGGACAGCAACCAAACGTAAATATATGACTTCCGCGGGAAGACTGCAAACCGAAAAGGACACGACGGCGAGAACCATTCAGACGGTCAACGCATCTTTGGCTGAAGCCCTTGGTACGTTAGGCGATCCCACAGTCGTAGACATCGCGTGTCCCTAACGGAAGCCTTGGCAATCGCATATTCACACATAAAGAACATTGAGACACCACTCCCAACCTTGCAAATCACCACAAACAACGCAGCCGATTTAGACATAACTCCAACTCCCACATACGCTAGATTTACAGTAATCAAAAGGCATGGCTATTGCAACAGACGACGTACGCAAGCGAGGTTCCTCTCACCTTTCAGCCCCGCACAGCACACCTATGACGTCATCATGCAACACTCGCACTGATGCGTCCTGGCCAGCAGTCACTTGACTATGTTGCAGTTGAACTGCAGGGACAATCTGCAGCTACTCCGGAAGGGCAACTACCGGATAACTTATGACATGCAGGCGACAGCGCACAGCAAGAAGTAGTGGCTAAGTCGCTCCTCCGCTACAACGTTATTGAACAGTTCACCGGCAGGCTAAATCAAGAAGCCGCAAGTACGGGCACGCTCGCCGACATGAGCCGCATGGCAAAGCAGCATGATCTTTAGAAATACCGTACGTTGCACACATGGT